TGAAGTGCGCGGACTCTAATCTGGGAGAACCGGGTTTGATTCCCCACTCCTCCACTTGTACCTGGCTGGATGACCTTGGGCAAGCCGTAGTTCTGACAAGAGCTGTTCTTGGGAAAAGAGCAGTTTCTGTCAGAGCTCTCTCAGCCCCACCTACCTCACAGGCACTGTTCCCTCTAAGCTGCGTGAGTGTGCGCCAGCTCACAGTTTCTTAGCCTCCGGCTCACACATTTTTGTCTTAGCTCAGGAAGGAGGGCTCCAGAGCAAACTAATTTATGCAGTAGCCAAATTGCTCGCTCACAACTTTAATGCCGGTAGCTCACAAAGTAGGATTTTTGCTCACAAGACTCCACGGCTTAGAGGGAACATTGCTCACAGGGTGTGTCTGTGGTGGGGAGGGGGAGGGGAAAGGAGTTTGTCAGCCGCTCTGAGACACCTTTGGGTAGTGAAGGGCGGGGCATAAATCCAATCTATTCTCTCTTCTTCTTCTCTAAGTGACAGCCTTTCGGATACTTAAAGGTCCTTTCCACACTAGACCTTGAATCCTGGTTCAACCCTGTCCCCAAACTACACTACACGCGAGTTCACCCCTGTAATTATCTTTGATACAGTGCGCCTGTGCTGACCCCAGAGGTGTGATGCACAGAGACCCCGAAGAAGATAAACAGGTTGCTTACCTGTAACTGATGATCTTCGAGTGGTCATCTGTGCATTCACACCTCTGGGGTCGGCGCAGGTGCACTGTATCCCAGAGGTGTGGTGCATAGAGACTACGAAGAAGATCAGAGCCTTAAAGAATAAGGGATTGCTTTAAACCTCCCTTCCAGCACTGCCGAGGGAAAGGTTGAGCTTCTGGCCGATGTGAATGCCCTTCTGGTGTTGTTAGATTCCAGAAAATATAAGTAAGCAGCCGGGGCTGCAGTATATCTGTTTTCCCCCCCAGGAAATGAACTCTGGAGACCTTGAGACATCTCCAGTTAAAAGGATCAGGCAGGAAGTGATGTGAACTGTGTTAGAAGGCAACGCCCACCGCTCAGGCTCCACTGGACTGTTTTGGATTGCTAGCTATTGGGGAGGGGGGACGTGCAGATCTATCCCTCGCAGAGGAGGGAGAGCTTGTACCTGAATAAAACTTGGTATTAAAGGCTCCACTGGACTGTTTTGGATTGCTAGCTACGGGGGGGGGGGAGGAGGGGATGTT